AACTGATGTTATTCAGGAGCTCCACGGCTTATACACCGCCGCGCGAACCCACAACGTGAAAATAATTTTTACGTGGAGAAAAAATGACCCGGTCGTTCTCTTTGAGAAAAATGCAGTAACTTTACTCAAACTGAATCGAACTGGCCGTTTCTTGAGTTGTTAAATATCAAAATTTCATTTTTAATTTGAATATCATGTTCATTCATTGTTATTAAAGAAAAAATTCATGAAAAACGCTAAAATTCACTTCGAAATCACATTAAAAGCAAAATTCGTGACAGATTTGGCATGTCGGCTAACAACATGTGCTCTATTGCGAACTGTAGATTCGAATCAATAGAGGAACCATCAATAAACACTTATTTATATTTATTTTTATATTTATTATTCTGTAATTTATGAGTTCCATGTCTTCTAAGCGCTATGCTTCTCATAATCATTCGCTTTTGGCCTGATGAGTTGGGATGAAGCAAGCCTTGAGCAGACCTGAAACTCCTTGAAATCACTTTTTCCTTTTTCTTTTTCAATCGATAATCGTTTCCTAATCCTACTCCCTTCAACTTACATGATATCGATTGATTGCTTGTCTTATTTCTTATATAATTTCTTCTCCCTTATCCTCCTGCGGCCTACAAACCCGTTGCTCTAACAGTTTCTTATTCTCCCTTCATGTTACGTTTCCACAGTTTCTTTCCTCGTTGTCGAATAGAATTTGCTTCTGGAACATTTTGATGTTTGTTTGTTGACAGCTCGTAGAGTATTCGCAACAGAAGTTCCTTTCTGCTCCCAAAACTTTTTTTGTCAAACTCCTGCCTTGTTTCCAAGTTTATACATTCGTGTTCGTACTCATTCGATTCAGTTCCGTCTGCTCTTCCCTTATATGAGACGCGCTGGTTGATTTGTTCATGTTTCTGTGAAGTTTTTTTTTCGGTTTTTGCCTCTTCGAGCGCACAGCCGAAATTCTTTTGTCAGTCCTGCCCTGTTTCCGAGTTCAAAATGTTTTTTCTAATTTTGAGCTTAGCTTCCGAGTGAATAAGTTCAAGTTTATATTCGTTCGTATCAGTTACCTAATTTTGCTCTTTCCTTTGATCGTATGCGCTTTCTATTTCATTTATACCTTGAACAGTTTTATCCCCGGAGTCTTCTTCAGATAGCGCTACCGAAAACTCTTTTTGCCTGTGTTGTGCCTAGTTTTTCAGTTCATACGTTCTTGTTTATACTCATTTAAATCAGCTTTTCTTTTTCCAAACATGAAATGCGGAGTTTGGTTTATCATGAGAAAAGTTTTTTTGTTCGTTCTTGAACTTTGGAGATACGTTTGAGATTTAGGCGATCCTCCTCTTTCTGTCAGTCTCTTGACGACTCAATAGACTTCGCAGAATCGCTTTCTCAAGTTGTAAGATTGAGCTCTCTCTTGTAGTTGGCTGTTGTAGTCTGAGCTTTTGCCCCTCTCCTTCTTCGTTTTCATCGACTTTCCTATTTTCCTCTACTCTTATCAACTTACAGAGTATTGATTGATTACTTGTCTTATTTCTTATATAATTTCTTCTCCCTTATCCTCCTGCGTCCTACAAACCCGTTGCTCCAATAGTTACCAATTCTCCCTTCATGTTACATTTCTTTCTCTTTTTCCTCAGTTCCTTTTTTCTCTCGAATCCTCCGTAGCGAAACCATCTGATGAATGATCGAAGGTATTAGAGACAGTCTCTCTATTCTCATTATTATCTTTTTCTTTTAATTTTGAAATGTTTTGAGAGATATCAGAGATTTTTATTTTTACAGTGAAAAGTGAAAGACCAGGTTGTTCCCTTGTTGAAAGGGGTTCAACGGTTTTTCTTTTGAACCTGAAGTCTACTATTGAGTTTGTGGTTCGGGACAGGAATAGAATCCATATACGGAGAGAAGTTCGACGATGGAAACTTTCACGCGGAACTTAGGCAACTGTTCTTCTTCGGTATGTTGTGTTTCCTAAGTACTGCGAATGATCTTTTCTGTCATTTTCAGGTTAAAGCCGGACGAAACTTAAACAAAAGATGGAAATGATCAGTTATTTTTCAGAAATAATCACAAACCAAAAGACCCAAACGGCTCGTCATAGAGGTTTGTATCTTTCTTCGTCTATATCCCAATCTGTATTCCATTTCAGCTCTTTGACGATCATGTCCCCAATACTGCCGAGAACTTCCGTGCTCTCTGTACAGGAGAGAAAGGAAAAAGTAAAATTGGACCGCCTCTGCACTACACTGGATGCTTTCTTGATATGATTTATCCCGACTACATAATCCAAGGAGGTGACATAACTCTAGGACGCGGAAATGGTTCGATCTATGGAGATAAGTTTGACGATAAAAACTTCCTGGCTCGTCATACTGGGGCTGGAATCCTCTCTATGGTATAACTTGTCATCTGTGCCTAAGCTGATTTGTATTGTTCAGGCGAACTCTGGACCAAACACTAATGGATCCCAATTCATGATTAGCTTGACCGAAAACACCTGGTTCGATGGTAAACATGCCGTCTTCGGGAGAGTTGTTGAAGGGATGGATCTCCTGATGGAATTGAACAGTGTTGGAACATAGTCAGGGAAACCTAC